TATATGTTACAGCGTCCTCCTCCTAGATTGTGGTACAAAGATCTTCGTTTCCTTGATGAAGAAGCTCTATGTTCATCCATTTCAAATCCATAAATCGGCATGATTGTGTTTTGGTTTTGAGGTTTGAAACAACTGTAGCCTTTTTGGTAGCTAAGCTCTATGGTTGAAGGTGTATATATATTGTTCCCAACACCGAGGATAAGAGAGGCATTGTTCTTGAATTCATAAAGAAGAAAGCCATTTCAGAAAAAAAGGGCAAGGAATGGCTTTAGCATGTTGCTAAGCTCACCTTATTATTATATGAAAACGTATTTTTATATCTTGTGGAGAATCGTTCATTACTTGTACTAATGATCAAAAATGTATTCCAAAAAGTTATCAACATTTTTGATCATGTAAATTCTTTCTCATGCAAGTATATTCCAAGTTGAGGCTAGGAATGTTAGGAGTAGGACTGCTATCATTGGGCCTAGTCATGGGCCTAACAGATTAGGCCCAGCTCATAATTAGGCTTCATTTCTTTCTTATTCAAGGACAGCTCTAGTCACATGAGCCATAGGTTGGGCTGTGGTTAGCAGCCAAACGAATAAGAAAAACTGACAGGGTCAGCCTCAATTCGGACCAGACCCGGCTTAGCCCTAACTTTCGAGAACACTTACCGGGCATGGCAGAACCGTCTCACGGGTTTTTAGCTGATGATAACATCTGAGAACCGAAGATGATAGATAATGAGCCAATCCAAATTTCTCATAGACAAACATAAGCCAACATTACATTTTTGACAATACAAGTTTTTATATGAACAATCAACAAACAACTTTTTTGTTTTTGTTTAACATAGTTTACTGTCTTAAAGCATAGCTCTCATAAGAGACCAAACAGAAGTTGGTTAAACCTTGTCGAAGTCTGTGTTCTGTTGCTTTGGAGCATCTGCAGGACTAGCCATGCTGACACCATCGTTCTGATGCTTCTCCCATCCACCAGTATCAGCCTTTGAATGAGCCAAGTAGTAAAGAATGGTTGCAATTAAAGACAAGAGAGTAAGAGCAGCTCCAGCAGCAAAGACCCCAACGGGTAAGACTGCACACGAAAGCTCTTTTCCTTTGTAGATACCTTGAGTTTTGGTGTGGTACAAGTTCCTGGCTGATCCAGCTAACAAGCACGCCTCAGCACCTAAAAAGCTTACCCTGAAGATTTTTTCCATCCAAAAAGATTCTGATAATAAGCACAACTCACACAATACAATGATTTAAGACAAAACAACTCAAACATGGAGATTAACTACTAACTAATCACACTACCAAACATAAAAAAAACCTACTAATCTGGAAATGCTTACTTCAACCTCACAATACCCATTAGAGTTAACCAAACAAAATTGAAACCCATAAACTATACAACCAAATCACAAATCTCTCTATGCTCAGATTCAAAAACAAGAAGAAATTTCAGTTCAATTTCTATGTGGAAACCAAATCTTAAAAGCCCTAATCAAGAAATTTGCTTTAAAAGACAAGAAATTTCAAATCTTTGGTAGCTAAAAAAAACAAAATTAGAGAGGAAAGGAGTGAAATTTACCAAGAGATGACGAAGAAGACAATAGAACAGACTGTGTAAGAAGTACCAGCAACTAAACCCTTTCCGAAACAGAGACATTTGGTAACGCCGTTAACCACCGTCTGGCTTACAAGAAGCAACCCAAACGCCGACATACCGTATACCGTCGCCGCTTTGGTTCCGTACACACAGAAGGTCTTCTCGTCGTACTGGTCCGGCATCGCCACAGCCTGCAAATGA